TATGCGTTTTGTTAGGATATCATGGAATGTTAGGATAGCACCGTTAATTTTTGTGTTTTTCATTCTCTCTATTTCTTCAATACATTTCTTCTGAAACTGAGATTGCCCGCTTATATCCGTAGTTATATTAAGATTCCCCTCATGTCCGTTACTCACGTCCAAGCTAGCAATATGCATTTTAACTAGCTGTTGTTGGATACCGGAAAGTTTGTCGCGACTCACAGATCTATACTTAGAACAGTGTAAGTGCAACGCTGTCTCATGGTATTCATTAACCATGTTTACGTTAGAACCGTTTTCTATGAGGGTCAGAACGGCTTCGTACTGATTGGCGCGGGATGCAAGATGAAGTGCAGTGTCCCCATTCTCATATATGGAATCGATGTTGACGTCCAAATTCAAGAGAATTTCCATGATACGTATTTGACCACATTCAGCGGCAAAATGTAACGCTGTGTATCCACTTACATCTTTGTTATTCATGTCAGCTCCTTTTTCGAGTAACCACCTGCAAGTTTCTGCTAGTCCTACTCACGCAGCAAAAGGGCGGTGTCTCGCCCCCTTCCATTTTCAAGTTGACATCGGCACCATGTTCTACTATTTGTATGATATCTCTGTGTTCCTGCTGAATGGCTAGGTGCAGTGCCGTTTCTCCCTCTTCGGTTTGGGCATCCACGTCAACTCCTCTTTCCAATAGCAACTTGCAAATTTCTTTTACTTCTGCTCGAGCAGCAAAATGGAGCAGTGTCTCGCCTGTTTCAGTTTTCAATTTGACATCGGCACTATGTTCTACGAGGATTTGTATGATATCTTCGTCTTCCCACTGAATGGCTAGGTGCAGTGCCGTTTCTCCCTCTTCGCTGTGGGCATCCACGTCAGCTCTTCTTTCGAGTAGCAACTTGCAAATTTCTTTTGCTCCTGCTCGCGCAGCAAAATGGAGCGGTGTCTCGTTCCACCAAGTTTTAAATCTGATATCGGCACCATGTTCTACGAGGACTTGTACGATATCTTTGGGTCTCATCTGAATGGCTAGGTGCAGTGCCGTTCTTCCATTTCCATCTTTGGCATGCACGTCAGCACCTCTGTCAGTGAGCGTTTTTACAGTTTCTATCTTGCAATTCATGACAGCAATGTGGAGCGGTGTGTACGCAGGATTTTGAGATTCACTGTAAACGTTCGCATCTTTGCTCATAACCAGTTCCTCCAT